CTGCCCCGTCCGCCAGCTCAGCATTTTGAGCAACAGCAGGGGGCCTTGCATTCACGTGATGGGGTCACGGCCTCATGCAATACCGTGCCCATGGAAGAAAGAGATGCCTGACCAACCGATACACTTCAAATAATCATCATTGATCAACATTGTTCGACAAGACAGCTGAGACGAATCGTAAACCCTGCGAGTACGTGTGCCTACTCGGGCAGTTTACCTGCTGATTAGGTGTAATTTTTCATTCTGGGCTACCCTCCTTTGGTTATTAACTTTTGTTGTTCATTATGTTAGGTATGATGTGGGCGAAATGAGAGGCTGGAAATGAAAGAATTTTACTAGTAGAAACATTGAGACTGGATAGCTCAGTCGGTATAGAGGCTAGGCTACGGCCTGGTTCATCGAAGTGTTGGGAGTTCGATTCTCGGGAGAGGAAAGAGACTTTTTGCACCTCAATAATGCCCAGACCGGTTCTGGGGTTCACCCAGCCTTGTATGTCATGGGAACAGGGGTGTGAAGCTCCATCTAGTGCCAAGGTTAATAATGGTGGAGCTATATCTTCACTCCCCTATACGCCTTAACGACATGGTACTTAATTAAGACAAGGAACAACTTCACCTTTAACTTACTGGAGGAAATGTAAAATATAAAGTTGTCTATCTATTTAAGTAATTAAGCACTATGCGATGGAGTCATATGTGGGAGTGGAGGTCACGCTATATACATATGTGTGTGTGTGTGTGTGTGAGTGTGGGTCGGTGGTGAGAATGAATGGTCCTGTCATCTTGCTTCAGCGAAGAGAGCCTTCCGTTCGTATTGTATGTGAGAGCACGTGGATCCCAGAACACTTCTACACATGATGGTGACGACGAAATTCTCTGACCTCATCAGGAATTTGTAGCTTTAGTTGTCTAGCCCGTGCGGCTTGAGGCATGAACCGGCTTCGCCAGCTCGAACGCTGGGATCGTGGGTTCGAATCCAACTCAAAGCATGGATGTCTGTGTGTGTGTTTCTTCTGTGTTTGTGCTCTTCTGTGTGTAGATAGATGTCTTGCGACGGGCTGATCCCCCGTTCAAGGAGTTCTACAGCCTGTCTATAGAATTATGAAACTGAAAAAGCCGCCAGGGCCCAACAAAGGGCTGTAGAGCCATTGATAAATTAATGAACCTCTAGCCCTTGGGCAGTCACTGTAAAGTGCCCCTAATGACTGAGTTATCCCATCTCATAACAGAGGACGGTAACTTAGAACAAATGTCAGTTATGTCTAATTCCAAGGGAATGCTGAGGGCTGTACAGATAACATACTAGGATTAGGTCTATGTCTGAATTTTGGGGACAGCTCGTCGAAACCTCGGCCGGGGCACTGGTGTCATTTTGTGATTTCTCAGCCCCTGGAGTCGAGTTCAAGCGTAAACCTTGAAATGTGCAACATCCGTATGTTACATTGCATTGAGCGTGCCTACTCAACATTCAAATGCTCGTCCAGTCTCATTCAATGATACGGAACTCTACGGTTCAAATGTCATTGTTACATGACAAAAGAATCGTAAACACGTCAGCATGAGGTCTGCTGGCCCGACAGAGTAAAGACTAGCTTTTGAAAACGATATTAAGGCAGACAAGCCCGTGTGAGCATAAGACAGATGAACTAGCGTAATAAGAAATATGAATTAATATAATAAGGGACAAGAAGCAACATAATAAGGAAGATGAAGGAATCTAATAAAAGAGATGAAGGAACCTAATAAGAGAGGTGAAACAACCTGAGAAGAGAGTTGACGTAGTTGAATAATACATGGCATGAATAAACACTGAACATAGTACCGAGCCAAAATGCGACGCTTTGTAATTATCGTGATGCGACCGGCGGAACCTGTAGCATGCATATCAGAAATGCATTATACCTGAGGTGACTGGTTACGGGTCGGACAACGGGAACCAGCTCTAGAAGTTCGGCCCCAAGTTCAGACAAGTTCTGAGACCCATCCAACTTCCTATCCAGTGTTTCATGATTCAGCAGGTTAGCGCCTGACAAAAGGGCCCCTTCTATCCGGGGCCAAGGCAGATGGATCATGAAGCTCGCCGCTAGTGTAGACTGTTAAACGTTACGCTTCCATTATTCCTGGTTAGATGAAGCATTAGGTTCAGTCGCAAAAAGTGTATTTGGAACCGAGACGGGAGAAATAGCCAGCTCTGGTTATTCCATTCACATGATGACCACGGTGAAGTAAACCTCCGTGAATACTCTCTTCATGAACAGCCCGGAAGGCAGCCAGGTCAGGTCACCGTGAACATCCTATAAGCGGTTACTAAGCTGTGGATGTTGGTGATGTGGTTATATTCTCGCAGACCGAAGCTGGATACACAACACACCTACTTACCCGCAGTGCTGTGTAATTATAGTGTCATATTGTTGTTACACAGCACAAGAGGGAACAAAGCAACGCGCAGGTTGCATGGCGTGGCCGTAATAAAATCTCCAACTGGCTCGTTACGTCATGAATGACTTCGGAACAAACAGAATCTGTTCTGCCGGTATAGCCGGAACTCCAAACGTCTGGCAACCAATGCATAACAAGGTACAGAAACTCTACACGATTCAGATATGCTTGCTTGTCTTTCATATCAAGGCAGTAAAACGTGTGACTAATTCCCAAATGCAATTCAATGGGGATTAACGTTGTTAAATACTTTTCCTGCCGGTCACGGTAGACGAGCAGTCTAAGGCATATACTGTCTTCCCTGGCTCAAAAGCTGGGATTGTGGGTTCGAATCCCACATAGGGCATGGATGTTTGGTGTATGTGTTTATTCTGTGATTGTGTTTTCCTGTGTTTGGGTAGGGGCCATGCGACGAGCTTATCATTCGCCCAAGGAGTCCTACCGTATGCAAAATGATCATACGGTTGAAAAAAATGAGAGGCCAGGGCCCAAGGGGGCTGTAGATACAATGAAAAAAAAATGTCCTAAAATCTTTTCGTGTTTGCCACAATAAGTGATCCTGTTTCTTCAGCGTGGGAGTAGGCTTGTAGGCTATAGGGATCCCTAACTTATGGTTATATTGGCTCTATATGTGAATAGAAACCATTATAGTGTTACGGGGATTATGTTATCTTATGTAGGCCTGTATCTGACAGAATTACACGCCGTTTCTGAAACAGGATCCATTTCTCTTCAGCAGGCTTAAAGGGAATATAAATGCACCCTTCATGACCCCTCACAAATAGCTTGTCTGATTCATTGGTCGAGACTGGCCCTTCTTAAGGGAACCAAATTAATAGGACCCTGTCCCCCCTTACACCAGAATATGGAAAGGGATCCAACTTCCGAAACATCGTGTAGGATATATGAAACAAATATGAAATGTGCAATGGGCAGTGTCCAGAGTAATAGGCCTGCTTGTAGGGTAAATGAATCTTTTCCACAAATCTTCAGACAGTAATTAGTTAGGCATGTAACTAAATGAAACATAAACAAATATATTAGGCCTATATAAGCCTACGATTTGGAAATAATATTCAAGGCGTGAGTAGTAGGTGGGCCTATGTGAATTTATGTTACACATACAGCATATATGCACTGACTCCAGCCTAACTCCATGGAGCCGAGTTCTTGTGTAAGACTTCTTCACTTACAAGTTCTTACTGAGAGGTTTTGTTATACCCCATGAAGCTACAGATTTACAGGGCCATCCCTGTCTGCAGACTTCGACGGGATCTCGTTCGTCGCCGCCCGCCTTAGGTTATTTAAAGACAGTGTGTCCATTCGCAACAAAGGTGCACGTCCTGCCCTGGGAACAACGAACTCACAAAAATAAAATAAAATAAAACAAAACAAAAAGAAAGCACAAATGTGACTCTTCTGGAAGTCTATGCCAAGCAGTGCGAAAAATGAACAAGAGGAGAAGGGGAGAGAGAGAGGGGGGGGGGAGACTGTAGGTCTGCTGGTAGAATGTTTCAACTTTATTTACGGACAATCGTGATGTCGAAGAAATCACAATAGTCCAAACAAGGAAACGATCTGTTTAAGCCATAGATTTATTGGGTTTTTGGACTTTACCCATCGTCTGGTATTCTAGAAATTAGAAAACACGACGTTTCGGATCTGTTTCCTTCTTCAGGTGAGGATGGGAGACTCGTACTCAGTTAGGCTCATTAGAAAGAGCTAACCTCAATCAAAGTTATGGACATATTTTCAATTCTTGACTCTTTTTGGAAGAAAATTTGCAAAGTTTCGCCTCTCAGCTTCGCTCAGTCTGTCAATTTGTGTCAGCCTGTCAGCCTAATAACTAGAGAACCGGTAAATAGAAATTTATGAAATTTCATGTTTGAAATTTTAACCAAAATTTCTTTTTTTTTTATATATATTATTAAAATCGGACAACAACGAAGGAGCCTTAATGTGAAGATCTACGTCATTTTCTACACCCTGGTCGCGATGAACTCACTATATATTTATTGGGGCAAAAATAATTTCCAGTGACATTTGCAGAGGAAAATGAAACAAACATTTCATGCCTCGTAGGTCGCTTTCCGTTAGCAATGCTACTTTCGAGATAACTAAAGGCAAGAGAGCGAACGTGCCAGAATTATTGGGCTATGCACACACTTCCTAACTTGTTAATACTGTTCTATCATAGGGAAGCTGACTAAGGTAATTGTGTGGCTGTAACGTGGTTACGAACCTAGGCCTAAGTAAACATATGAAATATTAAGCACTGGAGTTGGATGCAAACCGGCTTGTAGATATTATCAGCACGTGTGATTCGCCATTGTTATGCTGTTCGTATGTCAATGTTTTTCATCCCTGGATGGATTTATTACCTCGCTGAAAGTTGAACATGTACATATGCAAACAAACATTTGAGAGAAAGGAGTGGACGAGACCAAATCCACCAATGACATATCAAGTACGTTCTCCACTGAGACATGGGTACCTCCCCCGGACCTCCCATTGGATAGTTCTGACGACACCTCCACGTGACGGCTTGTCCAATGGCAGCTGAGGACGTGGCGCAGCCCGTTGCCCTTCCCGGGACCATGTCGATCAGTTCACCGGCAGAGTGGAGAGGAGGTGGGTTGTGTGTGTCCAACGCGTGGAAGTGCTTCCACTGCAAGAACATTAACAGTGATGAGTGATATCGGGTTCATTGCTGCTTGACGGTGTTGCCAAACTGCTGCAAAATGTTTAGAAGCAAGTAAGGTCAAAATGAAAGGAATCTGCAATTACTGGTCACAGAAGAGCAGAAAATTAATTTACGATGAGCGAGGCGTGTTGTAATGTGGGCTGGACAAGAGTTTTTGCTCAGCTGCTAGTCACTGCGGCCTACCGATAAACTGTCCTCATATAGTGAACGTAAATTATTTTCTTGTGTTTTAAACTGTGGGTAGAAACACACGTTACGAAAGTTCTGCAGACATTCATAAGAGTAAGCGCGAAAACAGTTGCAACAGCAGTGATAGGAAAGGTGATGCTGAACATTTCGGTGTGCTGAACGGTTGTGGCGATGCCCCGGCCGAGCCGCGAGTCGTACGGGGACCAGAAGCCACCCTACTCCTACATCTCGCTCACCGCCATGGCCATCTGGAGCTCGCCGGAGAAGATGCTGCCCCTGTCAGACATCTACCGCTTCATCACGGAGCGTTTCCCTTACTACCGCCGCAACACGCAGCGCTGGCAAAACTCTCTGAGGCACAACCTCTCCTTCAACGACTGTTTCATCAAGATCCCGAGGCGGCCCGACCGCCCTGGAAAGGGCGCCTACTGGGCCCTGCATCCTGCCGCCCTCGACATGTTCGAGAACGGGAGTCTGCTCCGGAGACGGAAACGCTTCAAGTTGATGAAGACGGATAAAGACCGCCTTGAAAACGAGCTGGCGGCACTGGCCAACATCAACCGCTTCATGTTCGCGCCACCTCAGTCCGCTATACAGGACACGACGGCCGTGGCCCCGCAGTTGGTGCACCAAAATCCGGCTGCTACGCTCCCAGTGACGGGCTCCACTGTGGCTTCCTCCCAGGTGCAGAGGCCGAAGCGTTCCTTTACAATAGAGAGCCTCATTTCCCCGGACAAGCCCAGCGTCCAGGCCGAGGAAGAACAGGTTGCTGCCCCGGCTACCGCCGCGCCCGCGCCGCCGGTAGCATTCCTGTACAATCCCGTTGCGATGACGACGCCAGCACCTTGCTACGGCGGCCTCGTACACCCTCCGTCAGCGTACGTGCACCCATCCCTAGTAATGGGGCTGGTTCACCCACACCCAGGGTTCTATCCGCAGCATCCGATTGTAGCGGAACATCCGGGAGCCGGTGTCTCCAGCGTGTTCAGGTTCAGTCCCACCTTGAGGTCCGTCTGACCCGTGACGGTGACCTCTGCGTGGGTCACACAGAAAACTTCGGCCGACGTGACCGATGCTGGGGTCACCAATAGCGGGGTACCATGTGACTTGCGGACCTGGACTACAATGCCCGGTGCAAGCAGGTGACCTGTGTGAGTGCCCCTCCCCCCCGAAATAGAGCAAGATTAAATTATTCGCCAAAACTAGGTATTGTACGCTATGCAATTGTTATAATTTGTTAAATATTAGCCACATGTTGGTTCGGTTGTACACATCACAGCCTCAGACAGGGACAGTTTTTCTGCTAGCTGTGTACTCTTGTAGATAGGCCTGATTAGAAGAATTACAGTTTTTTGGATCCACTTTGACAAAATTACGGACACTGTAATTACATTTCCATCACGGCAAATGTTTGTGTCACTGACTGTGTATATAGACTGTGCAGAAGTTGTGTATGACAGTAGAAGTCGCTAAATAAATTGTGTCAAATTATCCATGAAATGTTGTCCAGAATTAATATCTACCCCCAGAGTCATGCAGTCACCAGAAACATTTACTAGACCCTAATATTGTTTTTTATTTACCGAAACTTTTTTTCATTCCTGACAAGGAAAACGAGCTATGATTATCCCCCGTTCCTTGTGGCTTAATTCCTGATCAATTGCAGAGTTGTAGCTGTTGAATTTTTTAATGATTCTGATTTTCATTCAATTGTCTTTGCTTCAAGAAGCAGAATTCTGTTACTAATATTGCATTTTACACATAAGCTTAGCCTAATTTTACTCGTGATACCACCAGCCTGTTTTCTGAAGTTACAGCAGATGTAGGCAAAATTCGTAACATAGGGACATGGTTTTATGTAACTGTGAATAGAAATAAATGAAGCTTGTTAAATTTGCTTTTCTTCTTGTGCATTTTGTGGTCAGATTCCGAGATTGAACGTTGTAAATTAGAGATGAAAAAATATTTTGTGCGAGTGTCATGTTGGTATTTTTTGACAAACGAATATGGGATATTCTGTCAACACAGCTATTGTATACGTTTGAATTAGGTACATGTAGTTGCTTATTGTGCAGCTTGTTTTGTTCTACTGGTCACCATGTACAGGTATTATTGCTTAACTGCTGGAAGCTAGTAGCTTCGTTGGCTAATGTTCAAAATTTGAGTCTAATTGTGCCATGCAATTATTAGGCAAACTAGGTAAAGGAGACAACTACAAAAGTTCCTACATACTGAAATAAAATTAACATTTCCATTTTATGTGAGATTTGAGGTTTTCATGGTGGTGATTATGAAGAAAGCAATCTTCTGGGATGTGGCACCGTGTTGATGTGGTGTTAACTGACGTTTCGGAGGGACGTATCGCCCCTATCTTCAGGGTAGAAGGGAAAATAAACCGGTTGTACCGGTTCTCACGGTCTCTTCGTTTGCGGATTTTCTTATTTTTCCTTCTACCCTGAAGATGTAGGTGATACGTTCCTCCGAAACTTCGGTTAACACCACATCAACACGGTGCCACATCCCAGACTGATTTCTTGATTTCCATTTTAGTTTATACGGTTTATCCAGCAACTGCATTATGCATATGGACTCAAACCTATAAGCACTGGCCTGTGCAGCTACTAAGAGTTAAGTGACGGTACTCGTATATTTAAAAATAGCTTGGTGATGGCCAATTGGGTCGAAAGAAGTGCATGTAATTAATTTAGTCGGATAACAATAGTTGTGCTGAAGGAACTTGTCATTTTCAATCAAGAAATGTCAGCCTATGTTTGGAAAAGCGTAGAGCAAATATAAACAGAATCAGAGGATAAACTAAACACGGAACTGTGGGCCCTGAATTAAAACAAAAATTTTCAGAACTCTTTTCTTATAGGCCTAAAGCAGAGAAGCACTAATACGAGTATTTTCAAAGAGAACACATGTGTCTATCAGGAAAGGAATTGATAGAATGCCCATATGCCATAGGACTGATAATGCCCACTGAAACTTCAGAACTATAGGGTCTAGCAGATTGCAAGTTCAGTTCAGATTTGTCACATGCAGCTGCATCAGAAATATGGTACTTAAGCCTACAAGGAATCACCGTTGGACGCTCCACTTTGCATCCTGTAGATTTAGTACAGAATTTAAACCTACAGGAGTACGGTAAATAAAATGACTGCTGTTTTTTTTTTCACCAGAATAATTTGATTCTTTTTATGACCGATAAAAATGCACGGCGGGAGGTTTGGCAGGTAACTGCAGTCTGGGCTTTTATATTGCATTACATCAGGCAAATTGTCAGTTGTAAAACTGCAAGGGTTCTGTAATAGCCAGTCGTTTTCAAAATGACAGTTAACGGGTTTCCGCTCAGTTGTTCCTCGCAAGGCATGAACAAATCTTGTTGGACCACACATGCAACTAGACCCGGGTCTCTCTAACGCTTTAGTCAGTTTCTGTTGCTGGATTGGAATACAGTAACTGGAAACAAAATTACTTGTTTTATGTCACCTGCACGTAGCAAATTAAACCACCGAGGGCATTTCAAACCCTTTTTCCTGGACCATTAGGCATTATTAGCCGGTTGCGGTAGTTGCGCGGTCTAAGGCATGAATTGTCTTCGCTCGTGCGGACACTGGGATCGTGGGTTTGAATCCCATTTAAGGCAGGGATGTTTGGTGTGTGTATGCGTTTATTCTGTGTTTGTGTTGTTCTGTGTTTAGGTAGCGGCCTTGCGACGAGCTGATCACTCGTCCAAAGAGTCCTACCGTATGGGAAAAATGATTACGGAAAGGCTGACAAACTTACCGCCATGTTTGAGCCAATTGTCTAGATAGTTTGGGACCCTCAACGTCTCACAAACCTATGGGCCTTCACGGCCTGGTACAGGGATAGCTTTACTTTACTTTACTGAATAAAAGGCCTGGGCCTTGAATGTGCTGGAAGAGCCATTGAAAAAATTAGGTATTATTAGGCCGTTTGCAAGTGGGTTAAATGGTTAAATTATTGGAGTTGGAGGAGCACTTAAGAAACTGATGTCTCAAAAACCAATCTGTATGTGGGATTCCTCCAAACGTTGTCTTAGAAACAAATCTCTGCTTTCTGGCCTATCGCTGGTTTCCTGAGGCTCTGGTTCGTTGAAGTGTTTGGTGCATTTAAAGCTCTAGGGACAGTAATTAATTTATATATTTTTCTTGGTAGAAATAATTTATTTCGCGAATAATATTCACTGCAAGCTAATGACTGGCGGTCATTGCCGTTTGCCAGGTTCGCCCTTTGAGGGGGCTGATCTTTTTGGTTTTGTGGGAATGATTTTCCTGGGAATCACGTCAATATTTTATATACCCAGTGTTGTTAGTCACAGAGACATTTTCACAAAAAAAAAAATTTCTGACGTTCATGCATGAAGTGGCGTCTTAGTGAAACTGAAAATTGATCACCTAATGAAAATATTCCTAACCACTTATGAACTTGTTGGTTCATTAGCTTTTTCACAATTGTCTGCTGCTGCTTCTCATCACAAGCCAAATGAATCCAGCCCATTTCCTCAAAAACACTTTGTTTTAAAATCCAGTCGATTTTAATAATATTCCCCCATTCTTCTCTCTTCAAGTTCTCGCTTTCTTAATAAAATTTTTATGGCCTCTGCATTTATATTATATAAATTAATTTTCAAATATTTTTCTTGTACAACTGTGGTAGAGTTAAACACGTGAAGCTGGTCACCTCTATAATTCCGCTACCAGACCTTCACGCGAAAGTCGCATTTATTTACACAATACTGACCCTCCTTAACTTGGCCATCTTACAGTCTCCGCGGTGTCCTCTTCATTGTTCCATACTTTATATCCTAGACACGCGGAACTGAGATTGTTTTGTACTAGAGTGTACAAATGTAAACCCCTCCACCCATTATCCCTTGTGTGTACTTCGTAAATACCCTTCATCTTCTTTATTTTGAGATCGATAAGCAGTGGAATTTTGGCAGTCAGGTACAGTCTAAACACTTTTTAATGACATACAAATATTTTCAATTCATAAAAAGTAAAAATCCAACTTTTGTACTTAATCTTCTTTTGCAGTCAAGTCTGTCTAAAAGAATAATATTTTGGTTCACATACTCTCTTGTGCCTGTGATCATGTGACATCATTCTTTCTCTAGAAGTCTGCGCATAGTGCCCTGTAGTACCTATACATTTTAAATAAATTAATAAAATCATGTTATTGGCTCATATAAGTTAAGTGGTTGATGTTGATTACAAACTGAAGTTTTAGATTTTTTAACCAAAGGCATTAGCCAGTGAACAGTGACTGAATTGTTTGATGGATTCTGAGGTTCTAGGACAGCTTTAGTAGCGAAAGGAGATAGAAGTCACGTGAAATAAGCAATGAATCAGTCAATATCGTCATTCTGAAATTTTATCAGAAATATTGTTCAGTGGACATTGCTGTTGAAGGCCAATAATGCGCTCACTAAAGATACAAAAATGTGAAGTTTTAAATCTGCTTTATATACGATGCCAACTTGATAAATTCGTCCTGACAGTGAAATAACAGGTGCCGAACCTAGACAGTTTTCAGCGCAGCTTGGTGATCAGTAAGCGAATGAGTTGTGGGTATTGCCACGAGAGCTGCTTTGCAAATGCAGGGTGAGCACAGCATCGCACTGATGCTGATATCTGTCCAGGACAGATGGGTACTCAACAATGGTGGTTAACGCATTGTTGCTACCATTGTTGTGTGAGTAGAAGAGTTACAACGACAACTTTACACTAACAGTCACATCATGTTTTCTTTCTTAGAATGGAACGAATTGGTTGTGTGGGTGAATTTGGCAGCGGTTCGCGGGTGTGTGTCAAGTTATGAGGACGCGATTCTGATGTGTTCTGGGGTGCGAGAGGATTCAAACAAATTTAAAGCAAAGATTTCCTTTAAGAATTTGACGTCTGGTCTCCTAAACAAACAATGTCACGGTATTTGCTGATCACCAGCCATCAGTGCGTTCCCAGACAGGAAAATCATTTACTGCCGCTTTCAGTCCGGCTCAAATGTTGCGTCACTACGCACAAGTGCAGTGCGGACGCAATTTCATGCAAGGGATTCGTACCTGAAGACCTCGTAGAATTCAAAATAAGTTTTCTCATGACAATAAATGTATTGCAGAATTGTTTTGGGATTTGCATTATTTCGAACTTTAAGTATAAAATATGGTTTTATTAATATTATTATCGGATTATTTAAAATTCGTATAAAATGAGATCGCATTGTAAATGCAAACATTTTTGGTCTTGCTAAATGTTATTGAGACTTCGAACTAACTACCAAGCAAATGACTTCTGAGTTAATTGCACAGTTGTGTTGTTAAGAATGTTTAAATAATGTAAATCTACTCTCCTAGCTATGACGTCACTAACTGGCAATGACACACCCTCGTTCTAATAGCAGATGGAGTTTAAGGGCGGTTTGTGTGTTCAGTGTACAACCTGAAATACGTGGGCGGAACGAAAGAAAGGTTTTGC